CTGCTATTCTGTTCATTGATTTCAGCGCTGGGTACCTGGGTGTGTTCAGTTAGTGAAAGTTCGTGAAGACGTATGTGTCTGATTTTTTGCACTTTGCTCTATAAAAGTTCTATGGCAATAACCGTTGAGGAAAAGAGAATGAGAATAAACTCCTGATTATGGCCAATCTATAGCAAACTTCCACCTCATACAAGCAACCTCAGGACTATTGCCTTGTATACTGGGAATTTGCCTAAAGAGTAGATTTCGGCCACTCTTTCTACACACACATACACAAAGGTAATAGGTCAGGAGATGAATATGTTCCTTTGCTTCATTATAGTAATCATTTCACAACATATGTGTATCAAAACATCATGAATGCCTTAAATATATACAGTTAAAAACGAAACACGGCCAGGTGCGGTGGCTTGTGTCTCTAATCACAGCACTTTGGGAGGCCGAGGCAGGTGGATCACTTGAGGCCAGGAGTTCAAGACCAGCCTGGCCAACATGGTAAACCCCATCTCTACTAAAATACAAAAATTAGCCTGGCGTGGTGGTGGGCACCTGTAGTCCCAGCTACTCGGGAGGCTGAAGTACAAGAATCCCTTGAAGCCGGGAGGCAGAGGTTGTGGTGATCTGAGATCACGCCATTGCACTTCGGCCTGGGCAACAGAGTGAGACTCCGTCTCAAACAGCTTTTTAAAAACCCAATACCTAATCAATAAACAGATAAAAAATACAATCTCAATAGACACACTGCAGAGTGTCTCTGCAGTGACACTCCATTTTTTCTTATTATTTTTCATGGTCCTTTCCTTGTATTAATCTTCCTGGTTTGGTCTTCTAGGATGTAGTCAGATGCTGGCTATTTTGCCAATTTGGACCTGGGGCTAGGAACTTTAAGACACAATTAGCTTACATATTTAATCACATAGGGCAATTTCGATGTACTGAAGCCTTCCTCAGCATCTCAGCAAACTATTATACAAATACAAATACCCGTGCCGGGGGTCCAGACACCAATCCTTTTACATTTTAAAAATAAATTCAAATGTGCCACAAAGCCTGAGACCCCCTGAAATGACAGAAATCTCCCCCTTCTTGACTTACAGTTGAAGGATTTGGAGGTTTTTGTTTTGTTTTGTTTTGTTTTGTTTTGAGACGGAGTCTCGCTCTGTCACCCAGGCTGGAATGCAGTGGCGTGATCTCGGCTCACTGAAAATTCCAACTTCTGGGTTTAAGCGATTCTCCTGCCTCAGTCTACCAAGTCACTGTTATTATAGATGCCTGCCACTATGCCCAACTATGTTTTCTTTTCTTTTCTTTTTTTTTTTTTTTTTTTTTGAGACAGAGTCTCGCTCTGTCACCCCTGGAGTGCAGTAGTGCAACCTGAGGTCACCGCAACTTCTGCCTCCTGGGTTCGATTCTCCTGTCTCAGCCTCCATCATAGCTGGGATTACAGGCATGCGCCACCACACTGGGCTAATTTTTTATTTTTAGTAGAGATGGGATTTCACCCTGTTGCCCAGGCTGATCTTGAATTCCTGACCTCAAGTGATCCGCCCCCCTTGGCCTCCCAAAGTGCTGGGATTATAGGTGTGAGCCACTGTACCTGGCCTAATTTTTGTATTTTTAGTAGAGATGGGGTTTCCCTTAGTTGGCCAGGCTGGTTGCAAACCCCTGACCTCAAATGATCCACCCACCTCTGACTCCCAAAGTGCTGGGATTACAGGTGTGAGCCACCCCGCCCATCCAGGACTTGGAGTTCTTATAATAATAATAACAATAATAATAATATATTCTGTTTGGAAGGCTGAGGCAGGCAGATCTCTTGAGGTCAGGAATTCAAGACCAGCCTGGCCAACATGCTGAAACCCATCTCTCCTAAGAATATAAAAATCAGCCAGGCATGGAGGCGCATGCCTGTAAACCCAGCTACTTGGGAGGCTGAGGCAGGAGAATCTCTTAACCCAGGAAGCAGAGCTTGCAGTGACCTGAGGTGACGCCACTGCTCTCCAGCCTGAGCAACAGAGAGAGATTATGTCTCAAAAATAAATAAATAAAGGCCGGGCGCGGTGGCTCAAGCCTGTAATCCCAGCACTTTGGGAGGCCCAGGCGGGTGGATCACGAGGTCAAGAGATCGACACCATCCTGGTCAACATGGTGAAACCCCGTCTCTACTAAAAATACTAAAAATTAGCTGGGCATGGTGGCGTGTGCCTGTAATCCCAGCTACTCAGGAGGCTGAGGCAGGAGAATTGCCTGAACCCAGGAGGCGGAGGTTGCGGTGAGCCGAGATCGCGCCATTGCACTCCAGCCTGGGCAACAAGAGCGAAACTCCGTCTCAAAAAAAAAAAAAATAAATAAATAAATAAAATAAAATAAAATAAAATAAAATAAATAAATAAATAATAAATTCTGATTTCCTGGTCCCTCTCATAGGCATCCCGAGACACCGGTCTGGAAGGTGCCCAGGTGTGAAAACACTCCTAGGTTTGTTTTATGTAAACCAAGGTTCAGAACCACAAACTCCAAGCCAACCCGGGAAGTGGTGTGTCATCCTGAGCTGTCCTTTGGACCTTTGGGGATTTAAAAATTCCTATAGCCCAGGGTACATCCAACATCAGTGGAATAAAAATGTGTAGGGACTGGTGCTGCCATTAGGTTTTCAAGGTCTCTGGGAGAATCCAATGTACTTCCAGGTTGGGAAACAACAAAGTACATTTCTTTCCATTTAAACTCTCACTGGCTATATATGAATGGTGCAATGTCTCCACAGCCTTGTCTGCACTTGGTATTGCTGTTTTTTCATGTTAGCCCAACGGAAGTGTGTATGAGTATCTCACTGTGATTTTTATGAGTGTTTATCTGAAGCTAAACAGCATTTAGACATGTGTTCAGAATTGTACTGACCATTTATTTATTCTCTTTTCAGTAGTGCCTACTGAAGTTTTTCATGCATCTTGTATGCAAATTTTCAGTATTTTTTTTTTCTCATTTGACAGACATGTTTCTATTCTGTATTGTGGCTTGATGTACTTTACTGGATGCATGTCATGCAAATATCTTCTCCAACTATGATTTTCCAACACCAGTTTCTAGCTGCATTTTGATTAATAGGAGATCTTCCTTTTTTACATGGATTCTCACTCTGTCACCCAGGCTGGAGTGCAGTATATTGTATCTGTATATTGGAACTCGCTGGGTCGGGGGGTGGGGGGCACCGTACATTGAAATTGCCATGATGTACTTAAATATGTAAGCTAATTATGTCTTAAACTTCCTAGCCCCAGGTCCAAATTGGCAAAATAGCTATCATCTGTCTGCCTTCCCAAGGATGAAACCAGGAAGATTTATACAAGGCAAAGATCATGAAAAATAATAAGAAAAAACAGTAGTCACCACAAAGACCAAGGCTGTTGAGATTGTATTTCTTTTTTTGTCTGTTTAATTATTGGGTATTTTTCTTTTCTTTTTTCTTTTTTTTTGAGATGGAGTCTCACTGAGTCATCCAGGCGGGAGTGCAGTGGTGCAATCTCAGCTCAATGCAACCTCTGCCTCACAGGTTCACACGATTCTCCTGCCTCAACCTTCTAGCTGGGATTACAGGCACCTGCCTCAACCTGAGTAGCTGGGATTACAGGCACCCACCACCATACCCAACTAATTTTTGTATTTTTGGTAGAGACAGGGTTTCACCATGTTGGCCAGGCTGATATCTAACTCCTGACCTCAGGTGATCTGCCCACCTCAGCCTCCCAAAGTGCTGGGATTACAGGTGTGAGCCACCATGTCCAGCTTGATTAATAAGAGCTCTTAATACATCTTTTTCATCTTAATATAATTTAATGTGATCCAAGTTATAATTTTCTCCTTACCATTTTGCATTTTGTGGTACTGAAAAGAGAGATTGTCTCTCACTCGGGGTGTGTAGCTGCTTTTCAACCTATTATTTAATTAAAGCTATTCTGTCTTGTAGTTAGAACTGCAGTTAAGAATGTAAGAAATTGGCTGGATGAGGTGGCTCACACCTGTAATCACAGCACTTTGAGAAACGGAGGGAGGATCACTTGAGCCTGGGCAACATGGCAAAGTGAGACCAGCCTGGGCAACATGGCAAACCCTGTGTCCAAAAAAAAACACAAAACAACAACAACAAAAAAAAAACAGGGAGAAAATAAGATGAGATTGAACTTAGCAAAAGGCTAGATTACTAAAGTGAAAGTTCAAAAGCAGATATCACAACCAAGGCATGCAGTGAGCAACACTGGAAGACCATTGGGCATTATTTTCTGTATGAATATATATATATATATTTTAGATGGAGTTTTACTCTTGTCCCCCAAGCTGGAGTACAATGGTGGAATCTCGGCTCATTACAACCTTTGCCTCCTAGGTTCAAGCGATTCTCCTGCCTCAGCCTTCCAAGTAGCTGGGATTACAGGTTGGCTGCCACCACACCTGACTAATCTTTGTATTTTTAGTAGAGACAGAGTTTCACCATGTTGGCTAAGTTTGTCTCAAACTCCTGACCTCAGGTGATCCACCCACCTTGGCCTCCCAAAGTGATGGGATTAAAGATGTGAGCCACCATACCCAGCATGGATGAACATTTACATTGTCTTTAATTTTTGTTACTAAATCAAATATGACATGAAAATTTACGTACATAGACAATTCCATCCCTATTTCTATAGAATGCTTTCAAAGATGTTTGAAAGAATGGGAGAAAAGGGAAACATATCCAAAATGCTGATATTAACTGCAAGTACCACCCCCCCACACACACACACCAAAACATATTAAATTATTTTCTACTAACAGTCTATATTGGTAACACCACAATGGATTCCATATAAGGATTTAGAAATGCCTCAACTCCAATGGGTGGAGACAGGGTGTTCCCTGTGGATTAGCCACTAATTGCATTATCACTCCCTCCCTATATAAAAGGGGAACCAGAGGCAGAAGTCACTGCATTTTCAGCAAGCCAGGGGCTGTCTGCATCTCAGGAGTGGGATCAGCAGGAGAAACTCAACAGCCATGGGAGAGCCTGGGTCCAGATCTTTTCCAAACCCGCCTGTTCTGGTGAGTATGGGATCCTTACTGACCACAAGAATGTCCATTTGTGTCCTTTTTCTTCCTGTAAAACATCTTGGCAGTTAGCAGGGAGTTGTTCTTAAAACTAGATGCTATGTGGTGGAAAGTTATACCCTAGGTGTTAATAACTGTTGAATAATATTTAAGGTATTCTCATTTTTCCCCATGAAGCTATATGGGAATAATAGCTCCGATTTTTTTTTTTTAATCTACCATCACTAGGAAGGGGAAGAAGTATTATTTAGCCTTGTACTCTTCAAATTATCTCCCTCTCTGGAAAGTTCTTGAACCAGAAATTGCTTGGTCCCTTTTTAAAAAATAGTTCTCTGGTAAAATTTCCTGATTAGCTAGTCCTTCCCTAAACTCACTGTCACAATTCACTGTAGTGAATTTTTCTTTTCTGTTTCTCCCTTTCTCCCCCCTCCATCCCTGTCTCTCCCTTCTTGTTCATTACGGAACTTAAATATGTCTGATATTCTATCCCGTTGGAAACAGATGCTCTGTGCTACAAAGAAAAGTCAGTACTGAGACAGTGGATCTCTCAGCAAGGCAATCTTTACTTTCTGCAGAATGGGTACTCCTGTTAGCCATCTTGCCATGACAGTACCGTTTCTGCAGAAAGTAAAGATTGCCTTGCCGAGAGATCCTTTGTCTCAGTGCTGACTTTTCTTTGCGGCACCAAGCATATGTTTCCAACAATCAGAAATTTGTTTTTAGTGTGCTTATTATGTCTTCCTTTTCACCAAGATGAAAATCAATGGAGTGGTGACTTGATGAAGTTTATTTCTTTTTTTTTTTTTTTTTTTTGGTTATTTAATTAGATTATTAGGACATTTGAAATACCAATTTGTGAGGATAAATTCCATTTGTTAGGGCAAACACAGATCGCAGGTAGCCCTGGAGCTGAGGAATAGCTTTGATTTTTGGTAAAATTTGTGAGTCCACAGCTTTCTGATCAATCTTGCGCTGCTCTGTAATCTCGTATTTCTCTTTTTCTGTGTCGAAGATCTCACCTTCCTGGTGTCTGGGCTTTCGCAGCTTCTTCTTCTTGAAGTAAGCATCAGTAAGATGTTTTGGAATTTTTACATTGCTGATATCAATTTTGGTTGAGGTGGCAATGACAAATTTCTGGTGTGTTCTTCGCAGAGGAACTCGATTGAGGACCAGAGGTCCAGTCACAAGTAATAAGCCACTAGCCAGCTGCTTCAGGAAAACCACCCTCTTGCCCCTGTGGCGTCCAGTGAGGATGATCAGAATGGTCCCGGGGGTAATGCTGGCTCGCAGTTTTCTCACGTGCTGACTAAAGGGTTTCTTGCCGTGGCTCAACAGCTTTCGAGGCACATCTTCAGTAGGATAATACCTAGGCATTTTGCGAAGTTTAACCACCCGGGTACCGCCGTTTTTGTCACCACCAACTGGTTTTGTAACAGTTGCAAGAACCTTCTCCTTCTTTTTTTTTTCAACCTTGGATTTAGCGGCTGAGTACTTCCTCTTGTACATGGCCTTTCTGGAGTACATGGCAGATCGGGAATACCTGCCGATTCCTCTGACAAGGACAGGATTGCGGCTGCAATGGGGCTTCCCCTTCTTGGGCTTTTTAGCCTTGAGGTGACCCTTTTTCACTTTGCTACCAGCATCAGCCTTCTTGGCTTCAGGTTTCTTCTCTTTAGTATCCGGCTTCTCAACTTTTTCACCCGCCATCTTGCAAGATGGGAAAGAGCTGATGAAGTTTATTTCTAGAGCAGAGTTTTTTCTGCACAGGTTGGCACATCATAGGTGCCCTGTAACTAAGGGGAGTAAATAATTTTCCCTCCAAACTGGAACATCTTGGGTAGTGTAAGGGGTAGTATTAATCTTTATGCCCAGAACAACAGAAATGAAATGAGAAGGACAGAAGTGAAGGCTTTAAAATGAAAAGTGCACTGATGAAGTTTGTGGTTCAAACAGCTTCATGAAACCACAGTCTTCCAATTTGAGACAGAGCAAGAATGGATTTCAAATCTTAGGGAGCACTTCATCATCTTTTGCAGCATGTCATCAAAACAGTCTCTCATCGTATAATTCTAGTTAATTGAACTTATTAGAAACAGAAAGGAAACACGGTGTGCTGAGGTTTTTCTTCATGAGCAGGAGTTCAGGTGAAGATGGGATCTGGGTGTGGCAGTGAGTATTTAAGGGTTGGAGAGTGCACGATTTTCTTTGGAGACCAGGGAGTCAAGGAGCTATGAAAATGATGTGTCCTGAAGCACAGCAAAATAGATACAGATAAACCTGAGGTCTTGGGTAACAGGGAACTCCGGGATCCCAGTGTCCTGTTGGGGATGGGTCAGGAGGCACCAGCATGTGTGTAGCTGACAGTGGCAGGGAAGAGAAGAGAGGGGGTCCTCTGAGGAGGGTGAGCAGGAATATGGTCTGGAATTGGCCCTGGGTCATGACTTTGAGCTTTTGGTCCTTGGCTCACATCAGCCCAGTGAGGTCCCAGGACCCAGTGTTGATGCCTGGAGCCTCTGCCAGCAGCATCAGCATCACACGGAGAAATGCAGACTCTTGGGTCCATCCTAGACTTCACAGGGTTCAGGTCCAGAGATCTGAGTTCAACAAACCCTGCAGGTGCTGAGGATGGATGGTGTCATCTGAGACCCATTTCCCCAGAAAGAGAGGCTGGTGGGGAGATTGCACTGAGCTGAGAGAAGCCCCCAGAGCTGATCTTTTCCAGCTTCCATTTGGATGAAATTTCACATTTTCTTTTCTATTGAAAGGGGAAGCTCAAAAGAAGCATGATACCCTGGGCCTTACAGAAGAAACGAGATATCCACGTGGCCAAGGCCCATCGAAGACGAGCTGCCAGGGCTGCCCTCCCCATGAGACTCACTAGCTGTATCTTCCGGAAGCCAGTGACAAAGATCAGGTCTCATCCTGACAACCAGGTCAGACACAAAATAGGCGAGGAGCAGCTGGAGAAGCCACGGCAGCTCTGCGCCTACCAGAGAATGCAGGCCCTGCCCCCCTGCAGCAGCCAAGGAGAAGGCTCTGCAAGTCCACTGGATTTGGACAGCATCTTAAGTGTTCTTGATCCGGGCATGGCTGGGGGATCTCTGGACAGAGCTGGTGCTGAGCTCACACACGGCCGGCCTGAGCCCACCCCTGGGCAGCTTCCAGCTGGAGTAGGGGCTCCCCCAGGAGTGGGTTGTCAGCTCCCACCGCCCCTCTCTGGCCAATTGGTGACTCAAGCAGATATCCGGAGACAAGCCCGGAAGGTGAAGAAAGCCAGGGAGAGACTGGCCAAGGCCTTGCAGACTGACAGACTGGCCAAGGAGGCAGACAGACATGCTGAGGAGTAGATGAAGTAGAGGAGGGGGCGCTGAGAAGCTGTGGGGTGTGGCTCCGGGTGAGGGAAGTCAGCGGTGACAGTCCTGGGTTTTAGGTCCCTATCTTTTAATGCCCGTCCTCTTTGCTACTATGAATTGTCACACTTTCTCCTTCCTCACCTATTCTTTATTAAAAGCATTTAAAGGCAACAGGTGTAAAAAGTGGATGGTTTTGTGGTAAGAAATTTGGTCTCCTGGGACAGAGAGGGAGACCTTTACATGTCATTGTATACCTCGATTTCTGTTTACCAGGATTTTAATTAGTTTATCTTTCTTTTTTTTTGAGATGGAGTTTTGCTCTTGTTGCCCTGGCTGGAGTGCAATGGCATGATCTTGGTTCACTTCACTACAACCTCTGCCTCCGAGGTTCAAGCGATCCTACTGCTTCAGCCTCCTGAATAGCTAGGATGTCAGGCATGTGCCACCATGTCCCACTAATTTTGTATTTTTAGTGGAGACATGGTTTCTCCATGTTGGTCAAGCTGGTCTCGAACTCCCAACCTCAGATGATATACCCTCCTCGATCTCCCAAAGTACTGGAAGTACAGGTGTGAGCCACTGTGACCAGCCTGATTTTAATTAGTTTTTCTATTAAATTCTAGTTTAACTTTAAATAAGTCTAAAAAATGAAATTACATTGCAGAAGTTTTAAGTGAAATGGTTATGTTACATAATTTAACATTAAATTTTTATTTTTTACACAAAAAACCTTGAAGATATAAATTTTTATTTTTTTTACTTAAAAATTTTTTTATAAAAAAGTGCTAATGCAACAAATTTTTATTTTTAAATTACATTTTTATTTTTTAGATTCAGGGGTACCTGTATTTGTCCATTTTATTAATATATTGCTTACCGATATGGATTTGGTTTCTAGTGTACTTGTCACCCAAATGGTGAACATAGAACACCAAAGTTAATTTTTTTGTTGTTTTTATAAAATATAACTTTTAACCAAGAAATTATTAATCTATGCTGAAGGATCATTTAGTTTTGTAGTCATATATATATATTTGAAGTCACACACACACACACACACACACACACACACACACACACACACAATTTTTTTTTTACTTGCTCTGCCGCCCAGGCTGGAATGCATGTTGGTCAGGCTGGTCTCGAACTGCTGACCTTGTGAGCCTCCTGCCTTGGCCTCCCAAAGTGCTGGGATTACAGGTATGAGTCACCAAGTCTGGCTCCCCATCATTTTTTTTTTTTTTTTGAAACAGTCTCATTCTGTCATCCAGGCTGGAGAGTGCAATGGCGTGACCTTGGCTCACTGCAACCTCTGCCTCCCGGGTTCAAGTGAGTCTCCTGCCTCAGCCTCTCAAGTATCTAGGATTACAGGTGCCTGTCACCATGCATGGCTAATTTTTGTATTTTTAGTAGAGACGGGGTTTTGCCAAGTTGGCCAGGCTGGTCTCAAACTTCAGACCTCAGATGATCTGCCTGCCTTGGCTTCCCAGAATGCTGGGATTACAGGCGTAAACCACAGCACCTGGCCTCCAGCTACTTTCCTTTTTCCTGACTGAGAAAACACAGTGGTCCTTGACTGCTCTATGACCTGGCTAGCTGTCTATTCTCCACTGTACGATTAGAGGTACTCTGGGCTCTAGAAGGTGTCAGGGAGCATTCCAAGGCATGGACCAAGCTGTGTAGGATGTTGCCCTACACAATTGTGATGAGAAATTTGGTTCTGTGGGGCAGAGAGGGAGACGTTTATTACACCTGTAATCTCAGCACTTTGGGAGACTGAGGCGGGTGGATCATCTGAGGTCGGGAGTTCGAGACCAGCCTGATCAACATGGAGAAATCAAGTCGCTACTAAAAATATAAAATTAACTGGGCGTGGTGGCACATGCCTGTAATCCCAGCTACTATGGAGGCTGAGGCAGGAGGATCACTTGAACCTAGGAGGTGGAGTATCAACACGCTGCTGAACACGTAGAAACTAGCTCCTCCCTCAGTTTCCTTGAATATTCACACAAACCCCAAAACCCGACCCTCTTGTTAAAGACAGGCCTGGTGTCACATCTCCTTTCTCGCTGCCCATCACGAGGACTCTGGATGTAAGTTCCCCCTAATAAATACTTGGGATGGATTATCCTAGAGGCATCCTTCAGGTTCTTCTGTCTTGAAATCCCAACTGATGTCATCTTGAGATGGTCTGGGATAGCCCCTTGAGGAACCTCCCCTGACGCCACCTTTGAGGCATCTCTAGCAGTAGGTTTGGCCATAGGGAAAAACACTGGATAAGTCAGTATCGAGTCAAACCGGATTTTTTAAAATTTTAGATATTAGCTCAATCCCCAAAGTAGGAACTAAATATAGCTAAAAACTATACAGAATACACTTGGGAGAGCTGGGATGGCTTTGCCAATATTAGATATAATAGATTTTAAGCCAAAAATGCTTACACAAGAAACCAACAAGGTCGTTACAGTTCGCGCTTGAACAAGAGTTTGAACTGCATCGACCTATTGATATATGGATTTTTCTTCCATGTCTGCCACCCCTGACACAGCAAGACCAGCTCCTCCCCTTCCTCCTCCTCCACAGTCTACTCAACCTAAAGACGACGACGATGGAGACTTTTATGATGATCTGCTTCATATTTTTTCTTCCTTAGAAATTTTTTCTCTTTATTTCCTTTCTCTTACTCTTTCTTCCTTCCCTTCCTTTCTCCTCTCTCTCCCTTGCTTCCTTCCCTTTCTCTCTTTCTTTCATTTTTTTTGACAGAGTTTCACTCTTGTTATCCAGGCTTCAGTACACTCTTGTTACCCAGGCTGCAGTGCAATGGCTTGCTCTCAGTTCACTGCAACCTCCACCTCCTGGGTTCAAGCAATTCTCCTGCCTCAGCCTCCCAAGTAGCTGGGGTTACATGCACCTGCCACCATGCTTGGCTAATTTTTATATCTTTAGTAGAGATGGGATTTCGTCACGTTGGCCAGGCTAGTCTCAAACTGACCTAATGTGATCTTCCCTCCTTGGCCTCTCAAAGTGCTGGGATTACAGGCGTGAGCCACAGCAACTGGCCCTTATGATTTTCTTAACATTTTATTTTCTCTAGCTTACTTTATTGTATTAATATAGTATATAACACACACGGCATACAAAATATGTGCTAATCAAGCATATATTTGGGAGAACTTCTGGTCAATAGGCAACTATTAGTAAAGTTTTAGGGAAGTCAGAAGTTTTATGTGGATTTTCTTTTTTTTCTGAGACAGAGTCTTGCTCTGTCATGCAGGCTGAAGTACAATGGCATGATCTCAGCTCACTGCATCCCAGGTTCAAACGATTCTCCTGCCTCAGCCTCCTAAGTAGCTGGGATTACAGGCATGTACCACCACGGCTGGCTAATTTTTGTATTTTTAGTAGAGACCATGTTGATCAGGCTGGTCTCAAACTCCTGACCTAGTGATCTGCCCGCCTTGACCTTCCCAAGTGCTGGGATTACAGGTGTGAACCACTGCGCCCGGCCTCCCACGTTTCTTAAATGATCTGCATCATCAAATGTGGTGCTTTAATTACGTGCTATCCGGTTGTTCCTCATTACTTGGACAAGGATGGGTATTATCTCTGAGACTAGATTGCTTAGCTCTGTGGGGGTGTGCGCCTCAGCACATGCTCTTACAAAAACCTACTTCCCCTATTCTCTTCTTGTAGTTAGAACGCTGGGTGCAAACAAGTAATTGCTATGTGTTTGGCTATGAATGATAATATAGGGAATTAGATTCCCAGCTGTTGAGATGAATATTGATGAATGCTGAGTGTATGATAGAATATATTGTTTGCTGAGAACAATGGCAAGGAAAAACCTAGCCACCCCTCACTCCAAGTGGAAAACCATGTCAGGCATTCAAAAGTGGCAGGACAATGTATAAATATCACACACTGGGGGCCAGGCACGGTGGCTCAAGCCTGTAATCTCAGCACTTTGGGAGGCCGAGGTGGGTGGATCATGAGGTCAAGAGATCGAGACCATCCTGGTCAACATGGTGAAACCCCGTCTCTACTAAAAATACAAAAAAAAAATTAGCTGGCCATGGTGGCGCATGCCTGTGGTCCCAGCTACTAAGGAGGCTGAGGCAGGAGAATTGCCTGAACCCAGGAGGCGGAGGTTGCGGTGAGCTGAGATCGCGCCATTGCACTCCAGCCTGGGTAACAAGAGCGAAACTCCATCTCAAAAAAAAAAAAAAAAAAAAAAAAAAAAAAAAAAAAATCACACACCGGTTACAACAATTCTTCGAGATATCTGACCCTGCCCCCATGGCTCCCTCATGGAGAACACCTTTTAGTTTGTCTATGATCAGTGGTAAGTGGGTAACAGCTGCCTACTTGGTAAATTTTTGAGTTATGAGAAAATACAGAATACGTTAATAATAATCACCTGTTCAGAAGAGAGTAAATACGTGGATCAGAATCTTCTTGGGGTCTTCAGCCTGGAATGCTGTCAGTCTCTGAGGTTCTCAGGCTGGAAGGCTCCTGGCCCCTCGGATAGTCCCACTTTGCCGTTCCATCTGGGTGTCTGCCTCTCAGGTCCTTCAGTGCCGCCTGGGTGAGGGTCTCTCCAGCCAAGCTGATACTCGGTACCCAGCAGCAGAGGATCCATCTTTTTTTTTTTTTTTTTAAAGACGGAGTGTGGATCTGTCACCCAGGCTGGAGTGCAGTGACGTAATCTTGGCTCACTGCAACCTCTGCCTCCTGGGTTCAAGAGATTCTCCTGCCTCAGCCTCCTGAGTAGCTGGGATTACAAGCACCCGCCACCACACTCAGCTAATTTTGTATTTTTAGTAGAGACAGGGCTTCAGCCTATTGGCCAGGCTGGTCTCAAACTCCTGACTCCAGGTGATCTGCCTGCCTCAGTCTCCCAAAGTGCTGGGATTTCAGGCGTGAGCCACTGCACCCACTTGCATTCATGTTTAAAGAACAATTTAACAGAAAAGTAGGATCAAACGTAATAAGCACACGTGTTTTGTATATATGTAAAAATGTAAATTCATTAAACAATGCTAGGCAATGTGCTTTGCATATGAATATATGCTTAGATGTTATTAATATGTATTTGGATGTATATAATGTATGTGTATGAAATTCAGAGTAGAAGTATATACACCAAATAAATAATGATATTTGCCTGCTCT